GGCTGCTCAGCTCGGGCTGACTCGAACCACTGTTGCTCAGAGCTCAAACTCTTGAGCGAGCTCTTAACCAACTGAGCCACTCAGCCGGCCCCCTGGATTTAATTTCTGAAGAATATCTTTTAGTGGGTCTTTCAGTAGGATTTACTATTGATAAAAATCCCTCAGGTTTTGTTAGTGAAAACATTCATTTTATTCTCTCATTGCTCAGTTAGTTGAATATAGAATTCTAGGTCGACAATTTCTTTTCACAGATAATATTCTAAAGCCTCCTGTTTTCTATTGCTATTATTGCTTTTTTGAGGTTAGATACTTTTTCTCATAGTTTGCTTTTATCATCTTCTCTTTGACTTTGGTGTTCTATATTTCACCTCAATGTGTTTACAACAATTATCTTTCTTAGATGTAAGATGCTTCTAGAAATCTAAGGAATCATGTTTTTCATCAATTTTGGAAAATCCTCAGTTAATATTTCTTTCAGGTTTTCTACTCCTCTTTTCTGTGTTCTGTCATTCTGGCTCCCTTATCTGATCAATGTTGGTATTTTTCAATCTATTCTGTATCTCTCTTAATCTCTCTTTCAAGTTTTTCCATTTTTTATATCTGTGTTGTATGTTATAAATTGAAATAGACCAACTTCCTTTGATCTGTTTTCCAGTTCATACATTATTTCCTCAGCATATTTCAATTTGCTGTTTAACCCATCCATTGAGTTAAATAATTTTAGGAATTATCAGGCTTTTTTAAAATTAGAACTTCTTGTGTTTTTCAAATATTCCTGATGTTTTTCTTTATATCTTAATGTTTATTTATTCTTTTATGTCTTTAAGCATTTAAAACATATAGTGTGTAGCTGTGTTGTTATCTATTCCTGCGTAACTGTATTATCATAACTTTCTGGCTTAAAACAACACACATTTATTATCTTACAGCTTATATGGTGAATAAGTTTGGGCACAGCTCTGCTGGTCCTCCGTAAGGCTGTAAATCAAGGTGTTGGCTAGGGCTGGTTTCTCATGTGGGGCTCAACTGGGGAAGGACCCACTTCAATGCTCCCATGGTTGTTAGCAGAATTCAGTTCTTTACGGGCCACTAGACTCATTTTTTTTTTCTGGCTGTTAGCTACAGGGCACTTCAGCTCTGTGCCACATGGCCCTCTCCATATTGGCAGCTCATAACATGGCACCTTGCTTCTCCAAAACCAGCAAGGCAGAGTTTCTTAGTAAGGTAGGCATTCTATCTTATGTAATTAACTACATACATGCACTCACATAAATCTCATCACTATTACTGTATTCTATTGGTTAAAAACAAGCCATACATTATGCCAGCTGTTGGGAGAGAGGAGTAGGTACGAAAGAGCATGACCACTAGAAGACATTGTGTTCATGGGAGCCACCCTGGAGTCTGGCTGCTACAGTATCCAGTAATTCTATGATTTATAGTTCTTAGGAAAACTAAATCTGCTATTTAGTATTTCTGCTGATATAGTGGATTCTTTCCTTGTGTGTTTTGTAATTTTGAATTTTGAGCTCTTTAGTGAGGGTTCCCTCCTCCCCCTGGTGCTTCTGCTGGGCACATTTTATATGCTAATTTCTCATCTTGGAATTTCCT